AAACACAGAAAACATAAATTTGACAGAGGAAACACAAGGTAGATTAACCCAGAAAATTTGGCAGTGAAGACATTTTCACTCTGGGATTTAAAAGGGGGAAAGGTGATAAAGAGTTCCTTAAACAAATGTAGCTCCCAGATAGGAATGTTGGCAAATTCACAGCACTATGGATTAGTCCGGGGGTAGGGGGTGCTATTTATCTGAAGAGCCAATGTCTCTGTTTCATTACCTGGAGTAAGTACAGAGAAGAAAATCAGGCAATCACTGATTACATATGTTAACTCCTATGCTAACAAAGCATCTTCAGTATATACATATATTTTGGTTTGTCAAAGAGCTATGTTAACATATATATTTCAAACATGAATTTTTAATATTCATTATTTTATAGTTAGTGTTCTTCTGGGAAGGTCAGTGAAGGAGACACAAATCTCTGCTACTGAATGAAATTTGCTTGTCTGTCCACATGCCTTTTTCATGAAAGATTAGCTACAATTACATGCAAAGAGAATAGTCACCCCAAAAGATTGAAAAAATACAGAGAAGCTGCAGTGTACATTAACTGAATTTTCAAAGGTTGTTAATATTAAACATAAAAATACACAATCTATTAATTTATTGAGCTGTCTTTAGTTGTAAACAAGATGATTTTAAAATACCCACAAATTATTCCAGTAAGTGTGTCTTTCAGCCCTATGTCACCACAGCTGTTTTCCAGATTGATATAATATGAATGACATTTTTGGATCTCTGTCTTGCAAATTCCAGCTCTCTGTGTGATATCATGAGATTCCAGAAAATCTCTCCCATACCCTGAAAATGCTCTTAAAACATACAAAACTGATTCAATAAGAACAGTTATTCGTTCTACAAGTAATAAGACTTATAATGCAAATGTCTTAAATCATTTCAAGCAATGCATTTAAAGTATCATGTGCTTGGCTAATCATAAGCCAACCTTTGGTGAGATCCAGTTTTCTCTTCCCTACTAGAGCCATACTAGGCCTGCTGTAGTTTTCCAGGTCAGTTTCCAATGGGCTTACTTTAAACAGTGTGTGAGCTAGAACTGAGACTCAAAAGATAAGACTGCTCAGAATAGGAAGGACCTAGCCAGGCCTTTCCAGTTTGTTCCTCAGAAGACAGTTGGCCTGCCATCAACCAGTCATGGTTTGAGAGTGCAATTTAAGGAGTTCTTCATATACCCAAATTGCCTAGAATTGGATAAAATGAAATATGGCCTTCATTTTTCATTAGCAATCTACATGGAATGGGGTTTTCAAAAGATGCCTGTGAAACTTACAAAATGAGAATCAATTGAGTACTGAAGTTCCACTCACATTGAACAGTTGAATATGATGTTAAATAGACAAGAGGCATCCAGGAGTTCATAAGAAAAGGCACTGACATCAAATAACTTGGCTCTGGTTTCTATGTATATTAAAAATGTAATTGTTCACGCTTTTCTGAGAATATTATGATGTGATAAGTTTTGTCTTAAAGCCATTATTTCCAGCATGAAGTTATTTGTCTTCTGTAAAGCAATGCTGTTAGTAGATAATAATTGGCTCTATAGTTATGCATGTCTGAGTTCTCTACTTTATTTGGTTGCCTTCATTTGGTTTGTGTAAGCTGGCCCTTGAGATATAAAACCCACTAGGGAGAGTAAAACTTCCTAAGACATTAAGAAGACTAAATATGAGTATGATATTTGAGAGATGGAGTGATGATTCAGTGGTTGAGAGCATTCACTGCTCTTGCAGAGGACCAGTTCCCAGAACCCATATAGTGAGCCATAACCATTCATAACTCAAGTTTCAGGGAATTAAATACTCTCTTCTCTAAGGGTACATGGCAGGCATATGAGGCACATATATACATGCAAGGAAAACTTTCATACTCATAAAATAAAGGAGTCTTTTAAAATGTATAGGATATCTAGCTAAGTTTTATTATGTTTGACATGCTAATGATTTATTTTAGTTTAAGAATAAGAATATTTAATGGGCTCATTAAAATCATACACATTTAAAGTGTACCATGTTATGATTTAATAGATGTATACATTGTATAATTATCATAATTAGGTTAATATACCTATTACTACTTATAGTTACCAGTGCGTGTGTGTGTGTGTGTGTGTGTGTGTGTGTGTGTGTGTGTGTACTCAGAACATAAAATCTGGTCTCATTAAACAGCAAGTGTTCAATGCATTGCTGTTACTACAGCCAAGATGTTATTCATTAGAGAATCAGAACCGTCCTCATATACTTGAAAGCTTTATGTTCTTCGACTAGCATCTCCCTTCTCACCCTCCAGTACCTTAGACTTTTCAGATTGTGCATATAAATGAGGTCTACAGCATTGGTCTTTTGCTCTGAAGCTCATACTTTCAACCATATGGGGACAAATTAAATGATTTCCTTTTTATCCATGCTGGATAATACTCTGCTGTGAGGGTGTTTCATATGTTTTGCTGGTCCACTCACCTGTCAGTAGACACTTGAATTTCCATCTCTAGGCTACAGTGAAGTGGGGTTCTTTGAGGTATGCCATGAGAGGAATGGCTATGTCCACAGCAGCATACTGCTTCACGCTTTCATCAATGGAGCTCAGGGTTTGTACTTTCCCAACACTCACTTTTCTGTCTTGTTTACAATAGTTATCTTGTGAGTGTGCTGTCGTGTTACATTGTGGTTTTCCTTGCACTTGGGCTCTCACAGTAACTACTGATATTAATCATTGTGTGCTCATTGGCCAATAGAATATCTTCCTTACTGTCTGTCCACACCCTCTGCCTTAAACAATAAGTACTTGCCATAATGCCTCACACAATATAGAAATATGTGTACACTGAAAAACACTCTTCATCCAACATTCAGTTTTAACGGGATGTACTCTTTTTGTTTGATAGACAGGAAAAAAAAAAAAAAAACAGCAACAGCAAAAAGTTGAGCTTTGCATGGCTCTTTTAAAATAGACATATATTTCACAGTTTTGCTCTGAAATAGTTTGGTATATTTTGTGGGTGTTCGGCTGGTGTTCCTGCTTTATTAAAAAAATTATAATTTCATTTCAAGATCCTCCTGACAAAGTCATTTGAGCTTCACAGTTTTGTGCAACGTTATTGGACTCACTTAATGAAATTATAACTCAGACAAGGTATTTCATTCTGTTGGAGTAAATGAGATTGGGCGGCAAGAGTTCAGGGGGAGCAAAGCCTTCACTGTGTCAATTCTTCCTGTTTGGTAGATGAAGGAGGAGCAGGCACTTCATATTAGAGTTATTTATTGTTCTCTTTGTGTGAACACTGTATTGGTGCCTGTCCCTACTGGAAACAACAGCTGTTAACAGGCTCTGAGATGAATTTCAATGTGATCTCTGCTGGCCTCTGGAAAGCTTGTCTAAAGAGAAAATAGGCTCAGCCTTGGAAGAAAAGAGCAAGTTCTTCTTCTGCTTGCCTGAAGGCTAAGGGCTGCTAAAACCACCAGTGAGTGCTTTCATGGCTATCTGCACTTAGATCAAGGTAGAAGTGCAAAGGGGAATACCGGTGCAGGCAGGACTCCTCTTAATAACAGGAAGAGGGAAGAAGCAGTGTTGAACGTGGTGACCCCACTAAAACATCCTGCCCTGGGGTGTGGAAGGCTGCAGAAGAGAAGGAAAGAGCCTTGCAGGGCAAAGCAACAAAGCCCTTCTTGGCCAGTGCCCCAAGCAGCTTAAGAGGAGATCAGAAACGCCTCTAATCCAAGTCTGTAACACAATAGACAGGAAATGGTAGCACTTTCTTCTATCGTCCTTTAATAACTGTGGTCCAGATTCACGATGAAACAAAGAGAGTTGTGTAGTCACAAGGAGAATCTGTGTTTGTGGATTCTGAGGGTTACTGGCAATGAGGCTCTGACAGGCTTTCCAGAGAGTAGGCGCTGTGTGAACAGACACCTGCAGCTTCTCTGGTATACTTTGTTCGGTGGAAACTTCTCAAGCAAGGAACTTTGACTCCTTCCATTACTTGTTTTAAAATGTGTTTCCCAGTAGCACTTCCCACCTTGAATTCTTTCACCTCTATGCTGAAGAGAGAAATTGCTAATTGGGCCTGTTGGTGTACACCAGTAGTCCGAGTCTCTGGGAGACTGAGGTAGAAAGATACCAAGTTCAAAGCCAGCCGGACCTGAAGAGTAAGATATACATCAACTAGGACAGAAGGAATGCAGAGGGCCAGCTGTTCCTGGGTCCCTGGAATTCCATCAGGGTCAATGACGCTTGACTATCCCCAGGGCGGTTCAGGCCCCTCTATCTGAGCCTGACCTAATCGTTCCCTCTTGTACTTCTCCTTATGCACCCAATAAGAGACAAGGCTGTAAGTTCAATAAGCCTCTGTGTGTGCATTTGTGTACGTGTTGGAGTATGAGGGTGCACATAAGTGCACACACTCACACAGCACATGTGTTTCTCAGCTTCTACATCTTTACCTCCTATGTATATCGTTCAAGAGCTCAGAGTAAATGTTGTACAAGTGAGGGGTGTGGGAGAATCTTTGGCTTTATTGGGATAATTGTCTCTTAATTCTGGAATTGTTTTACTCAACGTTGATTGGTCCTTTCAGAAATTCCCTTATATTGCAGGACTTAGCCCACCCACCTGTAAGCAGCTGAGAGGTTATTACCCTGAAGACAACTACTTAATGTTTTCGGGGGTGTGACACAAGAGCAGAGAAGGTGCCAAAAACAAACAAATAAATAAATAAATAAATAAATAAATAAATAGATAAATAAATAAATAAATAAATAAGGGAAGAAAGATGGAAATCACAAGGTTTTCAATTGAGTGGAGAGGGGAATTTGATAAAAATGCTGTCAGAGAGTCAATAAAAGATGGAGCCAGAATGAAGTGTCTGCAGCCGCCTTCCCTCTTCCAAACTCTCAGTAATAAGAACATAGGAAAGCACTGGATTTCCTGAAACTCGATGTCAAAAGTGCATCTCCTCTTCTTCTTTCTCTTTCCAGACAAAGTAAGCATATTGTCAACCTTCCTCGCTCCCTTCAAGTACCTAAGTCCTGGCACCACAAACACGGAGGATGAAGACACTCTAAGTAAGCAGCCCCACTTCTCTTATAGACAGGTCCTCACTAATTGTGGATGGGGGTGGGAGCTTCTCTCTCTCTATCTCCTTGTAACCATGGAGTGGACTGGCTGGTCTTGCCAAGTATAGGAGGTCCTGCCCTCATCTCCAGCAAACCCATCTTCTTCTACAGTTACATTCTTACCCATAGTTCCATCCTCATCTGTAGCTCCAAGCTCCCCATACTCCCAAAGTTACCAAGAAAATATCATCACTTAAAGAATGGAGTCCTTTTCCAGAATCTTGTCCTCACCTGAAGTCCATATTCACCTCCAGGAACAAATTCACACAGATCTATGTCCTTACCCACAACGTAATCCTATGCCTACATGCAATCCCCTCATTAGAGTATCAGCATTTCCTGCCATCCACTCTGACCAGGAGCCCACCCCACCTATAGGACCAAACTTATGCAGAGTCTTCATGGCAGGACCATCTGCCATGGGATTCTCTGTAATCTGTAGCCCACCTTCACTTTCGGGACCGGACTCTTGCAGAGTCCTTTCCTCACCCAGAGTCTCTTATTCACATGGAATAAAACCACAGTACCAACATTAACTGGGATACACTCCAACCTGCCATCCATTCCCGCCTGCAGGACCAAACTCTGCCCTCTCTCAGAGTCTCCTGTTTACATGGGAAACCATCTTCCCTTCCAGTCCTTCATCCCTGGAGTTGAACCCTCAGAAGTTCTGTCCTCATTAGGAATCCCATTCTCACTTGCAGTTCTATGCTTAACTAGAATCCCACCTTCCACCTCAGACCCATCTTTATCAGACATCCCATTCTCATGTGGAGTCTCATCCTTGTCCAAAGTTTCATATCTCACCTGAATCTTACCACACTAGGAAATAGGCCCTTACCCGAAATCCCAGTCTCAAATAACATCTTATCCTCATCTGGAATTCTGTTCATACCTGGAGACCCATCATCATCTTAAAGATAAGAAGATATCAATAATGTATGGTCAAGGACTCCAAGGAGTGTAGGAGAAAAACTAGTTTTCTTAGATTATTCTCTTTTCTCTTTCCTTCATTCTCTTCTTCTAACTACAGAAAAAAAAAGATTGTGCTATCGTGGTGTCTTAGAGAATGGATTTTACAGTTCTTTAATAAGAAAAAAGATAACTAGGGGTTTTCTGTTGAAACATCTCTAATGTATGAAGCTGAGAAAGAATTGGACAGCATCATTAGGTGTCTGATATTGAAGCTGGGTTAGGAAAGGGGCTCATGACCATCTCTTCTGCTTAAATCAATAAGGAGAGCTCAGAATAGAAACTGGAAAAGAGAGAGAGTGAGAAGAAGAGAAAAGACAAGAGTGAAGAAGAGGTGATAGGGGGAGCAGAGAGGAAGAGAGGAGAGCCAAGGAAAACAGAAGAGAAAGGAGAATTGCACTTCTTTTACCTGTGACATATTCCCAAACATTTAAAGAGGAGGCCAAACATTTCAGAAGAACCCCTCTCTGCATTTAATATCACTTAACAGATTGGCTTCTTTTTCAACTAAAATGAGTTAAGAATGTGCTTGTTGTGGGATGGGGAGGAAGCAAGGTGCTATTGCTGGTTGCTAAGATAATTGGCTGAATCACAGAAAAGCACTGGCAGAGATTTGCATGGGAATGTTGTCCATGTTGCCCTCAGCCTCTAAGAATCAAAAGACATTATTGTGGGCACCTCTCTCCAGACAAATGTTAACACTACTGGAAAGGGGAATTTCTCCCTGTAATTAATCATTTTCCTCATTTCTGTGACAAATGGCAGCAAAAGCAATTTAAGGAAGGGAGGGTTTATTTTGGTTCACAGTTCAAGGGTATCTAGGTTGAAAAGTCATGGCTGCAAAGCATGGCTGGTTACATTGTATTCACCATACAGAGGCAGAGACAGGTGAATGCAAATGCTCAGCTTCTTTTCCTTTTAAGTTCAGGACCTCAGCCCATGGGATGGTGTCACCCAAATCTAGGTAGGGTCTTCCTACCTTTAGTTAAGCCAGTCCAGAGCTCCCCAACATATGCTTGCTCCTAGATATCATGTATAGATCCTGTCTGGTTGACAATGAACAGTAGCTACATCACTGACCAAAAGTAAAGCTGATAGTGCTCAAAGGTCAGAACCTGTACAGACGTTCACAATCTTCTGCTTGGATCTTTTTATTTCTAAAGAAAAGGATAAAGGGGTGATGGATATGGGGAGAAATTGACTGGGCTTAGACAAGAGTTCTTGACCCTGATTTCTGGACTCCTCTCTTAGCAAGTTTTACAATTTGAAGCAAAATCTTGACATGTCATTTTGTATATCCTCTTGTGGTGGTCTGATTTAAGAGTTTCCAGTTCAGTCAAGTTATGGATGACTACCTCAGACACCTTAGAAAGAACGTTAAAAAGCATATTGTATGTGCTGCATTTATTCTGCCATGAGAGGAACTTGAACTCTGTTTTCCTGCTCTCTCCACCTGGAGCTGGGAGGAGGCTGGCTGATTCAGGGGAAAAATAAAGACGAGTTAACTAGAGAACTTTTAGAGAGAGAAAAGCAAATGTGTTCTAACTTTCAGAAACTCAGGGGCCAATATCCAAAGACTAAACAGCTTAAGAAACCGGGACCTTTGTAAAGTCGCTGCTCTGTCCAGAGGACACTGAAAAAGTCACACGCACATACAAACGCGTGCGCGTGCGCGCGCACACGTGCACACACACACACACACACACACACACACACACATGCAGCAGCAGCAGCAACAGCAGCAGCAGCAGCAGCAGCAACTTCACCTCTGGACAGCACTTGACTCCCTCTTGAGGCTGACACATTTAGCAAAGTAGGAGCCTGGTTTGGGGTCAACGAGCTCTGCATACATGTTCACTTTGAGGTTTTGAGCTTGCAAATGGGGGAATTATTAGCATGGAACATCATAGAGTCGAGGAGAGGCTGAGACATAGAACACATGGAATGTTCAATCAAGGATGGACAATACTTGCAATTAAAGCCATTTTCCACTTATCTGGTTTATTGGCTGATGGAAAGAAACATACAGACAAAAAATAAGTTTTAGTTGTTTATTATCCATTAAAATGCTTTTGAAGTGCTTGGGGGCCTCATTGTTGATGATGAGTTTTGTGTGTGTGTATGTGTGTGTGTTTGTGTGTGCGCCAATGCATGTATGTGAGTATGCCTGCATATACATGTGGAAGCCAGAAGAGGATATTAAATGTCTTTCCTGAACATTTCCCTTTACTTTATTTTTGTTTGGGGCTGTGCTGTGTTTTTTGAGACAGAGGCTCTTCACTGAACCTGAAGCTCATGTCTCTGTCTGGCTATCCGTCAAGCACTCTCTGGGATCCTCTCTGTCTACACCTCCGTGTTGGGTTTACAGATGCCCATGGCAGCTCCTGACTTTAATATGGGCAGTAGAGAGAAAAATGTTAGTCTTCATGTTGGTATGCAAGCATGTTACCCTCTAAGCTATCTTCTCAGACCACACTTCCTCTCTAGTCAATTCATTTAGAAAACTATTTTTGTATGTTTGTGCTTGGTATGAGTATGTCCATGATTTGAGTGGTATTTATGTTTATCTATGTATGTGTGGCATGACTGTGTTTGTCATGTATATGTCCGTAGTATGTGTACATGTAAATGTACATGTAGGAAATGTACATGTCTATGTGCATATGCATAGTGTATGTGAACACATGTGTGAAGCAAGAATGAAAAGATCTCTCTTTAAGCCCGTGCTGCGTGCGTTTGCATCTTGTAGATCTGTTGTGTCTCTGCTGCTCTAACGTAAACACAGTTCATGTCTAACCATTTATATCTTTCAACTGTCCAGCAGCTACCTATATCCTGGCAACCTGGAATACATAAAGGGTATTGTCCAGATTTGTGAGTTTCTCCATTAAAGAAGTTGTGCAAAGAGAGAGAGAAAGAGATAGTTAGAACACAGTCACCACACACACACACACACACACACACACACACACACACACAGCTTTGCTTAGAGAACATTGGTATCTAAGGAGCCAATCAGCATTAAGCTGCATCTTAACTGGGAGATCTTTTTATAATACTATGTTTTCAAGACTTTTCTACCTTCTGCATTCATTTCTGAGAAGGTTTCACCTTGCAACATTGAAAAGCAATGTGTCCCTGTCCACCCTGGCACCATCATCTGCTCAGAAGTTGAGATTTGGTCCAGATTCAATGACAAACAACTGAGATCAAGGATTTCATATTGTCTTTGGGCTCTGATAGAGGGCATCTCCTTACCAACAATACCTGCTTTTCCCTGAATCCCATGTACACCCATCACAGCTTCATGGGTGAGTCATGACAAGCCTTTGAAGAAGGCATTTTCTACCAGCTGCTCAGTCTGACAAACTGTCACACCCACATACAACCAACAAATGCCAAGCCCCTGCTACCTTCTGCACACCTCAGCCTAAACCTACCTGCCATGCACCCTACAGTTTGGGCTCTCTCCTGCCCCTCTTCTACACATCAAGTCCTCCCCACTGTCTGGAGGAAGAACTCAACAGCCTGCCATTCTGCTGTTGTTAAGCCCTGTCATCTGGGAGGAGCTGCTCTGTTTTTAAAACTGGGGCTGCTTGGCAGCTGAATAACCTTCACCAGAAACAATATTATCTCTTCAAATGTAGCGTGGCGCACTGGATGGCTGGCTCTCCAGAGCCCTCCTGACCCACAGACATGACAGTGTCATTACCAGTGATGCATACAATCCCAATGATGCCAAGCCATGGGAGGAAGCCGAGTGTACATAATAAGCAGGGAGAAGAGTCTGGCCTGCAAGGGAGCCAGCAGAGAACGAGGAGGCACATAAATGAATCTGCAAGCAAGCATGGCTTCTTAGGGATGATAGCAGTATGATCCAATCTAAGACCTGACCGACACCTTGTCTAACCATTCCTGAATGGCATCATACCAGGCCGTCAAACTCAATAAGTTGCAAATAACAGAGATATTTGGAA